TAAGTAATGAGAAGCAGCCTCAAATTGATAGCTGTATAATGCTGAGTTGTGGCCCTTGTTGTCTTTAAAAGACTTAGTTAAGTACAGAGAAGGTCTGAGAACTCAAACTCCTCCATAGTTCTTTTTTCATAAACAGTAAGTAGTAAGTTGTGAAGAAGTCATGGGGTGCTGTGTTCTATGTGGGAGAGAACACACCACACAATGGAACTTGTTTCTTAGTAAAGGATCCCAATCAAATTTCCAACCCTGAGTGTGAGTCTCCAGCACGTTAAACCTGGCGCACACATATGTTTAAGGCTTAATCCTGCAGTTCTTACATCCAGAAGCATTCAAGTTGTGACTATTCTTAATGCATTTCATTATTCATATGTAATATGACACTGATGAGGCGTCATTATGTTCTGGGAGGGTTTCCTGAAGACCACAAGTCCCAAGTCAGGAAAAGTATACTTATATAGGGAGAAAAATGGGAAGTTTCCAGAATGTTCCACAATACATTTCACTAGAACTGTACTGTGTGACAATGGTGATTTACAAATAATAATAATAATGATCCTTTTTTTGCTTCTGTTAAGAGTGGTGGTGATTATTTGCTTAATACTGGTTTTCCTATGTAGCAGATACTTTCTTATGGCTATATTCGCTTGAATAAAAAATCAAAGATGACCACCTGAATTTTCCAGTGTATAATTATAGTACACCTCATAAAATGGTTGATTCAATGGCCTCAAGTCTAGAATTCAGAATTGCTGCCAATACCTAATTAAAAGTAAATTTATTTAGAACAAAATAAGGTATAGCCGATTAACTAAGCTGCAACTTATATCTTTTTTAAAAAAACTCATTTTAATATTATAGGCTTGATAATGAAATTATGTCTACATTTATGTAGATATGTCTACATAAAGGTGTAGATCCACAAACTTACCGTGGAATGGCAGAGGAGATTGTGGGAGTAACGAGAGGCAGACAGCAAAGATACAACAGTCATAAATAAGGAATTAACTTTCCTTGTTAGTTTGGGTACCCAGGTGTTCAAAGAATGTATACAAATATTTAAAATAACATTCTTTAGAAATTATGTCCAAAAACAGGAAGAAAAGCGTTTGAGAAACCTTTCTGCCTCATTGCAAAATTTTTCTATGTCATTATAGAAGACAAAGGCAATAATCAGAAGGAAAAAAAATGGAACGATTACACCAAAATGCTAGTAGAGAATGCAATATTTTAAAAATAGGGACTTAACTTCAATGGAAAGAGTTCCATTTTCTCCTACTACAGACAGAGCTAATCAGCCAGAAAAGTGCTTGAAGTATGTCTGCACATTTAATATAAAAATAAAAATAAATAAAAGTCAGGGTTCTGATTCAGGTAATGATTTAAGAGCCCGAGGAAAGAAAAATGAAGAAATTTCAAGATTAAAAAATCAAGAGAGGGAGAGAGGAAAGTAGACCTAGCTTTGGAACTCTGAGATAAAAAAATACAAAATTTTTAGCTATAATTGAGTCTAGATAGATTTGATCAGTTAAACATATGTTAGCCCTTCTGGTCAACCTTTCCTATAATAAGCTCCTGATTGTGCTCTTTTGAAGTTCCCCAAACTTGAAAAGGTCACCTGCCTGGAGGTATTAGGATGCTGCTCTCCTTATCACCTCTGAGCACTGCTATCACATAATTATTTGCAGAGGACAGGGCAGCAGAAGGTAGGTGTTTTCGTTCCCTCACTACACTTTAAACTGTGTTGGGATAGCTCAAAGTTGTGGATCTCTCAAGTGACACAACAAGCATTTTAAAACTCAGAACCAATTTGTGGTCTCATCCAAAATTCTAAGCCACTATCAGCCACGTCACATTTGTGATTTTAGTGTACTGTTTTCTCTTTTCATAACAATTCTGGAAAAAGAAAGCAACCTCCAAACGAGAAGTGGATTATGAGACTTCAATTTGTCATCCCATAAAGGTTGAACACGAACACAGTTCAAAGGGAAGTGAGAACAGACGTGACTGGGATGAAACAACCTCCACTTCCTCCTCTTGGCAGTGAACAGCTTTACTCAGATTTTCAAAACATGCCAGCTTCCGGCAACTTCCATGGAAAAGGTCCAACACTGCAAATCATCCCCTTAGCGCACTAACTGAACCGGACGAAACACGGAGGACAGGAGCATGTCAGGGAGCCCGACAGACACTTGAGTGTTAAGCAGAGATTTTAAAACTACTGAGAGCTTAACGCCAAGTTCTGAAAGCGAAACCTCATTTTTGCAGTAATCTGGTCTGGAGACCCCCCCCCCTCAGATACATCTAGTCTCTGAAGCACCTTTGAGTTGTACGGATGTAAGAATAACTTTGAACTATAGAAGTTATATGCATCTTTAAGAATCACATTTTGATGATTATAAAAATTTTTTCTATTTTACAACATAGGTCCAGCTACACTGAAAAAATTACACTGCTTATTGAAATACATTTCATTTTAGAAACAGACTACTAAAGAAGTCTATACAAAAACTCTAAAATAATTTCTGTAGTAAAATAAAGAGTGCGTTAGGAGAGCTACACAAAGAAGAAAATTTCCATCTTTCTCTATAATGCTTGATATATTGTGAAACATGGCTAGCTCGACTCTGCAGCCAGCACCAAAAGCTGAAAAAAATTCATTACGATACACAGTGGTACAATTAATGCTCTGGATTAATCTCACAGCCTTCCCGATTAGTACAAAGGAAACCAGGCCTGTCCCCTCTTTGAGGAGAAGTCCAGGATATTAAAAGCAAGCATACCTCATCAGCTGATATGAAATTATAAAATTCCACAAGTCTGAGTATTTGAAATTTATAAAAGTCACCAGAAAATGCAAGCAAATTGGGCTTTAGTTTGGTGGTTCCCCTGGTTTAGATGACAGTTCCCTCCACGAGCTTAAGGTAGGTGTCTTGTTCATCCCCTTGGATGTGCTGACTCACCAAGACATTGACAAAGCTCACGGCGGAGGCTGAGGCGAGTCTGACAGCTACAGAAACGCTCACCCACTCCCCTCTGCAAACTCACATGTGGGCACGTAACTCGTGGTGGAGAACGCACTTAAGGAGATGGATGTTAATGATGCTGTGCTGAACTGTTCTTCTCTGCCAGGTGCCGCAGAAAGGTGTCCTCACCCTGGCCTCTGTGATTTAAAGGCTCGCTCTTAAAGAGAGCTGGAGGTGGGGGGAGGTGAGGGACTGGGGGGATGGGGAGGTGGTGTGGGTGGTGAGGGTGTGGGTGGATGTGAAGGTGCGAGAAGGGATGAGGGATGGGCCGAGGGGGAAGAGTGTTTACAGGATTCATGTTGATTGGAGGGGCGGGGGTTGTGGGTGTGTTCACCACAGAAGGAACTGGGGTGACAGGGGAAGTGGTCAGTGGGATCTGGACAGCAGGCGGCACGTTCACGGGACTGGTCACCCGAAAGCACTTCTCCTTGTGGGCCTTAAGCATGTTGGAGAAGCGGAACCGCTGGCCACACACATCGCATGGATAGGGCTTCTCGCCTGTGTGAGTTCTGCGGTGCCTCTTCATGTTGGGGCGGCTGGTGAAGCTTTTGCCACAGATTTCACAGATAAAGGGTTTCTCTCCTGAGATGAACACAGACACAAAAACATGATTAACACACTAGGCGGTAATTATGCGCTCATGTTATTCCTCATATTAAAAAAGGAGATTAGCACTCTTCTCCCCTATGGCATATTACGCTCTAATAAACAAAAAAAGAGTGTCTCAAGGTTAGGACTTAACACATAAGAGCAGACACGAACAAAACTTATATACAACCTATCAACTGGGCTTGGTTTAAGAAAAAGGCATCTATAGTAGTAATCCTTCCCATCCTACGTGAGAACTGTTCACAAGGCTTTCCTATACTCAAGGAAACTGACATCACAGGTGAAACTCTGCCTCTAAATTCAGGCAAGTTAATCTGTAAGCAATTTCTGCCATTCCAACCGAAAGTAAGGCTTTGCTGAAAATGTCCTGTGGAGCAAATTAAGTCTCTTCATGTCTACTTGCACGTACTCCTTAGCACGGGGCTTACTCGTTGGTATAGGGCTTGGAAAATACTGGCCAGACTCACCCTGCAGCGTGAATTGCACACTGCAGTGTTTCTCAATGGGAGTGCTACCAGCACTTCTGCAGACAAATCGTCATTATGTGGGACTATGTGGCACATGTGAAGAGCGCTTAGCATTCCTGGTGCTAGGCTACTAAATGCCCCCAAGAGATTCTGACAATCAAAAATGTCCTCACGCCATTTTCAAACGTCCACGGGTGCAGGGAGAGTTGAGAAGGGGCTACTGCTCCTGGTTGAGAACCACTGGCCCAATGAGTCAAAAAGGAAACACAATCCCATAGTGCCAAAGGCACTTAGGGAGTAATTAGGTTTGGGTTCTAAGAGCTTAATTTGTAAGCTTCCTAACTTTCCTTTGGACTTACTGCTTAGTTCCAAGTTATGTCTACCTGCTGCTCTCCCCAGGCTATAGGGGGGAAACAAAATGATGGTACATGTCCATTAGTCACTTTATACGAATGCTGAAGAAAGGGGAGGAGGACCTGTGACATGTGCTGCAGTGACCATATGCTTGTACTTATCAATTCCCTCATCAATTCTCAGTGTATGTGGCTTGCATCTTTATAGTAACTCCTGCTACAAGAGAGTTTGCCGTCACTTCAATGATTGCTCCCTTCCTTTCCAATAGGTGGCCTTATTCTACTTTCTATAACTAATAGCTATTGTGCACTGAGTCTTACTGTGTGCTTGTCACTGGTCTACTCACTTTACACCTATTTACCTTGGTGGTCCTCACAGTGACCCACCAACAGACGGACAGACCCTATGAGGTAGGTTTCTTATTATCCCTATTTTACTGAGAAGGAAACTAAGAAACTCGGCCAAGATTCTATTCTTACAGCAAAGGGAGAGCCAGGTTTTAAATCTCTGCAGTCTGGCTCCAGGGTCTATGCTTTGGACGCATAAACCACAACACTTCATATCTCACCCCTTTGCGCATTCCTGCGTACACCAAGGAAAGTTCTTTTCTTTCTGTTTTCCTCCCTTTTGGGACCCCTTCTATATGGGAGCAAAGACCTCTTTACCTATATTGTAGTCCTTATTTCTTCTCTCTGGTGTCTCCTGTTGCCCTCCTCCCATAGAAGCCAGAATTTTCCTTACTTCCCTGAGAGAGTTGACTGAGCAGTCAGGAGAGACCTGTTTCCTCCGTCTCCGAAATCAGCAGTACTATTTCCTGACTAATATTTCTCATCGTTCAGCTTGCCGTTCCTCAGTCACTGCCCTTGCTAGGTTCTTCACTGTGATTCACGTTCATCTTTCTAGGTAAGTTCTGAGCCCAGCTTGCTTTCCTTTTTAATCCATTTCCTCCAATCACCTAAAAAACTTCAAATTCTATGTTAAATGGAATGGATTAAATAAATTATGATATGCCCACCTGATGGAAAGTACAATTAAAAGCAATATTATAAAAGTATAGAAATGCAATTGAAAAGTGTTTTAAAGATTTTTATTAAAATATAGCTAACACACAATATTATATTAGTTTCAGGTGTACACCATGTTTATTCAATAGAAATGTAATTATTAACATGAAAATCTACACTTAATTAAGATTATCTACAGTCTACTAAGTAAAACAAGCAAGTTATAAAAATGAATGCATGGTATTATCTACTTTTAATGAAAAATAAGTATAGAAAAAAATGGAAAGAAGTACAAATGTTACCAGTGATTATCTCTAGGTGATGGGATTATGAGTGATGCTTTACTTTATTTTTTTTAATTTTTTTAATTTTTTTATTTTTAAAAAATATGGAATGCTTCACGTATTTGCATATCATCCTTGCACAGGGGCCATGCTAATCTTCTCTGTATCGTTCCAATTTTAGTATATGTGCTGCCGAAACGAGCACTTATTTTATTTTTTAAACTTATATGTACTTTCTTTCTAAAATTAACATGATTCACTTTTAAATACACAGCTGTTTTAAAATGCTTTAAAAGCACAACTGTTTGATATCCTACTGAAGTCCTGGGCCCCTCCCTCCTGGATTCTCCGGAGTATGCATTCTTCATTCCGAACAGAATATGGAAACAGAGCCAAAGGACCTGCTCTTTGATTATTAGTCTAATAGGAGCAAACACGCTCCACTTGATTCACTAACACTTCTTGGGTGCACCAGACACTTTATTCGCAAACAGCATGGATTCATTGAAAAGTTTATTGAATGTTTAGACATTTAATTTTGTTATGTGCTTAAACCTGGATCCAATCCTGAACCTCTCTAATCATCTCTCATTTGTAGTCTTCTAGGCTATAATGATTTGCCATAGAAAGACCAAAAACTTTTAGAACTGGCCTACCACAAATCCATGGATTCAAATTAAACTGGGTCCTTTTTACCGCTTAATAATCTTTTATTCATTTCTTAATGCCCTACCAAATTTTCCGCATTTGTTGTTCCAGACATAAGCCCACGATCCCACCTACTTCTAACTCTGATTATTCATCAGGCTCCATCTCCTAACTGTGCTAATGACTGATGTCAAGATTCCCCTGATACCTCAAGTTATGATTACAATGAGACTGAAATAATGAAAAATCAAAACGTAATATTTGAAATCAACCACCTGTATAATGTCCTACTTTAAGGAAGAGCTCGTAAATGGATGGCTCGAAGATATACTAACAGCTAACTTCATCAAGGTAACTAGAACAGCATGTATATCAATTTAAAGATATATCACAATCTAAAGATATATATCACATCTAAAGATATGACCTGTTATATATGATAAAGCTAACCTGATTGTAAGGAACAGTATTGTAATGAGTCTGAAAAAAGAACACTGTAAATGAAGACAGACAATCTGCAGGGAAGACAGAAAGGAGGAAGAATTTAGTTAGGTGTCTCCTGTTCTATTCCAAGGAAAAGACGATCTGACCAGTAAACACAAGCATTCCACTCTGCTTATTATGAATGTCCTCGAGCAGCATCAGAAGCCCTTCTCTCTCTCTCTTTTTTTTTTTTTAGCTAAGTTATCCTGCCACTTGTTGGCAGCTCAGCTCAGGCCAGGAATTGAACCAGCGACCCTGTTGCTCAGAGCTCGCACTCTTGAGCAAGCTCTTAACCAACTGAGCCACTCAGCCAGCCCAGAAGCCCCTGTGTCTATATATCTAGCCTAAGTCTCTTGCCTGAGCTTTAAACCCATTTTGCAAACTGCCTACTGAATATTTCCACTTGAATATCCCATAGATAGCTCAAAATAACAAGTGAAAAAATAAATTCATTATCCTACCTAGCAAACCCGCTCCTGCCTCTCCTATTTCTCTATCTTGACAAATGGTATATAAGCCCCAAATACGGGACTAACAATTGACTCTCCCTTCCCACACCACTGATATCCAATCAATCTCCAAAGTTCCTTCCACTCTACCTTGCCTATCACTTTAATTTCATCCACTGCTATTACCACAGTCCTTATCAGCACAATCATTCACCTGGACTACTGCCACTATCTACCTGACTGGTTTCACCATCTCTACCCTTGCTCTCCACCCTCTAATCCATTCTCCACACTGTAGCCATAGGGAACTTTCAGATGGGTGTGTCACACTCTGCTTAAAACCATTCCAGAACTTCCCACTGTCCTTAGAATAAAGTCCAAACTTTTTTACCAGTTTTTTCCCCCCTTTGCAACCTAGTTTCTGCTTACTGCTCTCCAGTATCATGTCTTATTATAAGACATGCCCCGCACCCCTAATCATCAAACGCTAGCCAATTTCTTTTAGTTCCATGTACTTACTATACTTTCATTACCACACCACTGTTACATCTTGCTTGTCTATCACCCAACCTGACTATAAGCTCTGTGAACCTAGGGACTATTTCAGTCTTGTTCATTACAATAGCCCCAGTTAGCAGATTCTTATAAGTAAATATCTGTTAATTCTAGGACAGGCATTTCTCCCCCTACATAGTAATATCTCTGAAATTGACATATACTTACAATCAATGGCATGTCATTGTTTAATTTGCAGGACTTTCTTAGTGGCACATAAATTAAGCTTGTCTTACAAATGATGGCTTCATGGATTCAATGAAGTATGGTACTCACCATTAAGATTATTCAATTACCTTGCTTTGCTGTAATTCCTTGTTCCTGACCATCTTTTTGATTATAATTTAACTTCTAATAGAGTTTATTCTTTAGGTAAAGAATATGCTTACTAAAGACTATAAGAGTTTTGAACCACTTGCCACTCAGCCTTTTCACTGTGAATTATTAGCAATTTTGCTTATATTTCATTAAGACTACTTAGCACACCCCGGTCCCTCCGATCCTGATCTGCTTGAGAACATTGACAAATTTTGGAAGCTGAGACCCAGACTCTGGGATGGTGCTTTTTGCCTTCATGATGTCCTGTGTATCCCTCCATTTTATTACTTGCTACATTAAATTTATAGCAGAATCATTAAGAATGTAGTTCTGTAGTCAGACTGCCTTGGATAAATTATTTCATTTTTGAGCCTCAGTTTCCTCATCTGAAAAATGAAGATAATAATAGGTGATCGTGATAAGCTGAAAATAAAGGAAAGTGCTTAGAATAGTATCTGGCACACAGCAGACATTCAATGCATTTTAGTGCTATTGTTATTATTATTACCACCATCACTGTCATTGAATTGTAAGCTCCTTGGGGGAAAAAAACCAAGTCTTAATTCATTCTGTGTCTCTAAGCACTTAGTGCTATGGCTGGTACAAGAAGAATCAGCAATTACTCTATGTTGAACTCACCCCAAGTCTATCCACAGCATCCTAGGAAACCCTGCCTGAGGGCTGATCAGTTTCCCTAGATAATCTGACTCACTTCTCTTTAACTGCAAAGAAACAGCCCAGTCAATGTCAGTACCTGCAATGGCCTTAATCCCCACCAAAACATAGTCTAAATGTGGTTTCATCCAGCCTTAAAAGAGCTATCCCTCTTCTTTAAAGCTAACCCTTCTCCTTGTATTTCCTCAGGTACTACTATCATCCTTATTTAATACCAAGGAACCAGAGGCTGACAGAGGTTGCCTAATTCACTTACAGTCACACTGCTAGTAAGTGGCAGAGCTGGGTTTGTCCAACTCCACCATACAGCTGCTTTCCCAAATGGAGTATTACAAACAGTATTACAAGGCAGGTGACAAACCAGGGGTATTTTAATATTGGTGTTAAACAAGGTCTAGTTTATATATAAAGAGTTTTATGAACAATAAGAAAAAGTCAAACACTGCAACAAAAAGACGAATACAGAAAAGGCACAAACAATCCAGAAAAGAAAATATACTGATACCCAATAAGCATATGAAAAAATGTTCAATCTTACTTAGTAATTAAGTGCAAGTTACTACAATCGAAACCATTTCTCATCTATCAAATCAGCAAGGATTTTATTTAGCACTGGAGAGGGTTGGGGAAGTGGGTATTTTCATGCACAGCTGGTAAGAGTGTATGTGGACGGCTGTTTTGCAACATACATCGTCTTAAAAATGCACACATCCCTTTGCCCTTATAATCCCATTTCTAGGAATTTATCCTAAGTAAAAAATCATGACTGTGTTAGCCACAAATTTATCATAGTATTATTTGTAACAGTAGAAAAATTGGAAACAGAAATCTAAAAGTCTAATAGGGAACTGGCTAAATAATATGGGAATAACATGCTTTACTTTAAAGGACTGTTGTAAAAATTCAATTATATTGATCAAATGAGATAATGTATGTAAAGCACTTAAGATAGTGTCCGCCATATATGTGCATAATAAATAATGGCTATTATTACAGCAAATTTACAAGAAGGAATATTATACAAACATTAAAATGATATTGCTACTAATGACAATACAGTAAAATAAAAAGCAGGTTAAAATAAAGTATAAAGACCCAATTTTTGTTTTTATTACTATACATACAAACACATAAATACTTATGTATAGTGTTTATCTATATTAAGAAATTAAAGATTTTTTTTTTTAATTTTATTGGGGAATTGGGGAAGAGGAACAGCCAAGATGTTGTCCTTCAATCTTAGTTGTGGAGGGCACAGCTAGCTCAGCTCCAAGTCCAGTCGCCATCCGGCCCCCTGTGGGCAGCTCGCAGCTGCTTAGCTCAGGGTGCTGTGTTCAATCTTAGTTGTGGGTGGGCATAGCCCACCATCCCATGCGGGAGTCGAACTGGCAACCTTGTTGTTAGGAGCACGTGCTCTAACCAGCTGAGTCATCCTGCCACCTGTTGGCAGCTCAGTGGCAGCTCAGCTCTGGTGCAGCTCATTGGCCCATGTGGGAATCGAACCGGTGACCAATCGAACCGGTTAAGAGCTCGCGCTCTTAACCAACTGAGCCACTCGGCTGGCCCCAAGAAACTAAAGAATTTTTAAGAAGTGTATGCCAAAATGTTAACAGTAGTGATCAGTGATAAGATTATAGATCATTTTTATTTTGTTTCCAATTTTCAAATATAGTTTAATAAGTATGTACTACTTTTAATGAGGATAAAAATTTAAGATTATTATTATTTAAATTTAAGTACATTTAGGTAGCTATATTCCTTTAGAAGAAATAGGAAACGGGGCCGGCCGAGTAGCATGTTGGTTAGGAGTTGGCTTGGGATGCCAGCTCTGAGCAGCAGGGCCCCGGTTCGGATCCCATATGAGGGCCAGTGACGCTGCGCCCTCTACAGCTAAGATGCTGAACAACAGCTCAACCTGGAGCTGGGCTGCAGTGAGTTGCCGGCGACGGCATAGGCTGCAATGGGGCTGGCCAGCAGCAGGCGTGAGTTGCGTCCAATGGCTGGCGAGCGACTGCCTCAGCCGGGAAGAGCACAATAATACCAACATGGGCCAGTGAAACAACAGTCCTCCACAACTAGACTGAAGAACAAAAGGACAGCAACTTGTCTGTTCACCTTCCCCGATTCCCCAGCACTGTTCCCATCCCTCAATTCCCCCATAAAATCTTTAAAAAGAAAAAAAATAGGAAATGTTCAGCTTGCCTATCTGGTCAAAGAATGCTTAACATAAAATTTTATTTAACAAATACATTAATCACAAACATCCACTCTGGATTCATATTATGGACACTTAAGGGTCTGAAGAAAGAAGGACAAAGGGGAAGGAAGGAAGAAAGAGAAAAAAATGCAGAGAAGAGAGGAAGGAATGGGGAGAAAGAAGCACAGGGAGACCCAAAGAGAAGAGGAAGTGAGTGGAGGGGCAGAGGCTTACGTGGCTGGAGGTCCCTTCCAATCTTGTGACAAACATTTACATGGCACCTACTATGTGCCAAGCACTGTGTATGAATTTGACACAATTTCTGCCTTCAAAAATACTTATTTTCTATCTAGTTCCATAGTTTCCCACCGAATAACAAAAAACTGAATCCTAAAACGTGATTCAGAACTTACAGCCTATCCAAGAGCCACCAAATTAATCATAAGAGAAGTTGTTAAATACTCTATATTTTCTACTATCCATTTAGGCTTCCAAGTTATTAACTTCTGAGGTGTAATTTACTTAATTAAACTCCTCTCATGGCTCTTTCATCTGGTCAAATTCTTAGAATCTGAGGTTGCTCTGCTCCGAATGGGGAAGAAGCCCACCAGGCAGGCATCTTTCTTTGGATTTCCACAGAGAAATAGAAACTAGAAGAGATCCAGCCATGGGCAGAATTTCCTCACCATTAGTGACACAAAAGAGCAGCAGGCTAAGCAAGATAACCTCTTACGGCTCTTTCTAGCTCTGCTATTCTGTAACAGATAAGTAGAACCAAGAATCAATCCTATGATTAGATTTTATTTAGAAATCTGGAAAACGTTTCCTACTGTGCAATTTGTGCAAAGACAGCTAATTCTGGAACATCAAGTTAAGACTGAGCTACAATGACACTGTTTACAGGGGGAGCTATTTTAGCCAGTTTCTTGGAAGCTGGACAGACAAATGCTTACAAGATTCAAATCCACGCTGTGGAGCATACAGCCCTAAAAACACAAAGTGGATAAAATATTAACCCTCATTTGGTGGAGGTGTCCCTAAAAAGTAGTGAATTTTGGTAAAGCAAATCCAATCAAACTTTAATAAGACTACAGAGAGGGTATTCTATTTAAAGCAGTCAGTATCCTCCATTTTTTAAAGGTCCAGAATCCGTTCCTTAGAAAAATAATACGCATATACACAAAAACAAGCTTCGTACCATTTCAGGACATCCTGTGCCCCAAAGAAAGAATCCATTTTCTTGAAGGAACTCGCAGGTAAAAGGCACTAACAAATAATCCTCTTTAAATAAATAAGTTATGAAAGCCGAATTATTTGCTATTATTAATCAATATTTTTCTGTATCAGGTTTATTTAAAGTAAAATTTCCACTCAGAATGCAAACTGGTGGTTTAGATTTTTCAACAGATTCACAAGTGATCATTCTATCAACACAGCTGTACCCTTCCCCGGAAATTCTTACCAGTGTGTGTTTTCATGTGCTCATCGAAGTACTGCTTCATGTTGAAGTCCTTGCCACACCACTGGCACATGAACTGTTTGTGCCCAATGTGGATGCTCATGTGGGAGCGCAGCTGGTACTTGTACTGAAACCTTTCGTCACAGTTCTGCATTGGACACAGTGGAGATTTTTTAATGCCAAGCACAGTTGCTTTACTTGAGCCCACCCGACAGTCTCTGAGATAGGTTTCTTTTTCGTACGCAGAATAGAACCTGCTCCTGTCAACTATTAATATTTGGTTCTGCCATATTTCTGCAGCTGAGTTATTCATAAGAGGGAAATTTCTTGTATCATGATAACTGAAGTATACCCAACTTCTCTGAATTACTAAGAAAAATAACTCAGGTGTTAGTCCCAAATTTAACTTAATCCAAGAGAGTTCACAATGTGTTGAAAATGGCATTTCTCTACCTCGCAGTGAGACAACACAAGGCGCAGAGCACGTGCTGGAGGTTCTGTGGAAATGCAGCCGGATGCCCTGGGCTCCAGCACACCCTTCTCTCACTGCCTCACCGAGCCCCCAGACCTGGGCCTGGTGGGTAGCACATGCCTTACCTCACATCTGAAGGGCTTCTCTCCAGAATGCTGCAAGGAGTGCACCTTGAGTGACATGCTGCGTTTGAATGATTTTCCACAGGTTTCACACGTAAAAGGCATGTCTTTCGTGTGTGCTGCAACACAGAATGCACTTACACTCAAAATAAGTCCATCCCAAAGCCCAAACTGAAAAAGATAGGTGTCCTATTGTAAGGTCATCACGCCAGCTTCATTTTCTACACTCTAATTTGGAAGGCTTTAATAGCAATGTTCTGAAGAGAAAAAAATAAATAGCAATGTTGAAACAAAAGCTGGGTGTGGGAGACTGTGCCATCCAATTTGGTGATGCTTTCTGAAGATGTGTTGTTGCATTTAGTTTCAACAAGTCAAAAGTGACTAAAGTAAGGCAGTTCCTCATATCCTGTCTAAACGGGAGCACAAAACACACCAAAGAACAAGGGGAAATTATAGGTGTGAGAGAAAAGCAGTAGACAAAACTTACCAACCATGTGTTTCCGCACATGAGCCATGGTATAGAATTTCTTCTCACAAATTTCACAGGAAAATTTCTTCTCTGCATATCCATGGACAATCTTGATGTGTTCATGAAGGGACCAGAGTTTCTTGAATGATTTGTTACAGGAAACACACTGAGCAGGATAAATAGAAATAATCTTTACTTACAGGGGCTCACCCAAGGCCATACCTGCCTACTGGCAGATGGAATGGGTGTGCTTTAGATTCAGGGCACAAGGTCAGGATCCAAGCAAAAGCTATTCCTCCATGGAGCCCATGTTCCAACAGCAACATCAGTGTGTTCTATTTTCTAAGATGCATCTTTTACAGACACTTTGGGAGTATGAAAATGATGGCAAAAGGTAAGACAAGAAGAAATGGGAAGATCCACTAATATCAAAGAATTTATTGCTTTTATCAAATTTGTATTGTACTGATAAAAAGAACTTTCAAGTTTTTAAAAATTATATGGATTACCAAGAGCAGCTGCCTCCCACACATGGGTCACGATGCAGTATAATAGGTGTTTACCACAGATTACAAACTAATTTAAAGTTAGCATAAATAAAAACAAGATAAAACATATTAATAGTTATAGATCTGTAGAAGTATAACAATGTTTCTGTACCTCACAGAATGTATTTGGAGCCTTCATTCATACAAATTTACCGAGATTTTATATTTTCTCAAATCTAATTTGCTCTATTAAATATTTCCCTCTGGCAGAATTTAATGTAAATTCTAAACTGTTAGTATCATTCTCCCTTTCCCCTTATAGCGCAGCTCCACATCTCTCATATAAGCATCTATAGGAAATACATACAACACTGCCTAGTTCTTTGTATTATGAATCACATGATAGCAGGGGTCGGCAAACTTTTGAGACGGAAGAGCCAATCCTGTCCCTCACAACAATTTAAAAATTATTCGAGAGCCATAAAACAAATGAAATCACCATTATGTGAATAATACCCTTGAAAAATTTTATAAATGAAACTATGACAGTTTTATTTTCGTTTTCAATTTTACTTCAGAGCCACATGTATGTATCCAAAGAGCCGCAGGTGGCTTGTGAGCCGCAGTTTGCCGACTCCTGGTCTAGAGTATCAGGCATAAGGTGTATCAAAATAAAATGATTCTGGTTAAAGCAAAAACAATACTAGAAGTTCTAGGCAACCATCAGACTCTGGGATACTTAAGGGAACAAGCTGGTATTCACTGTGAACACAGATTTCTTAACATCACTGTCACTTCAGGAAAACAAGGACTCTGAGAAGAGTTAACAAGATAAGCCTCTGGCTGGATACTGCTCGAGAAAAGCACAGACAACTCCTACAAACCATTCTGTTGGGCAAGGTTCTAATTTTTACTTGTTATTAGGTCATCAGGATTATTAGGATCTATACATAAGAACACAGCAGTGCTCGTTAGGAAATCTAAGGAGTTCATTTAGCAGCATCCAAAAACCTGAACACAAGTTTAAACGTATCATGGTAAGGAATAGAGAGAAAAGTCACAAAAAAGATTTACTGAATGCTTCTGTAACTTAATAAAGCAAATTTAAGTTAAAAAAAAGTTATATAAAGGTGAACAGCAAGACACAGGTTTTTAGCAATGAATCACTACAGAACCTAAGTTTGACCCCTAGGGTGCAGCACTGAATCACACTCCTTTTGGCCTGAACTGTTGAACCAATCCATCACCAAGCGGGGCACTGGCAGTTACTGGAGGGTATGGGCACCGTGACTCAGTCTTCTTTTATTTACCCAGCGTTTGGGAGATCAAGTCACAACTGGCAAATCAAAAAGCAGTGAATTTTTAGCAAATGTAAATTATATTTTCTAAAAATCTCTTTAAAAGTAAAGCAATGATCTCAGTTGTTGGTTAAAAGCAAGAGGAAATGTGAAAAATACGGAGCACTCCAGGAAACAAACCAAAACAAAACAACTTCATCTTTTACAAGAAATTTAGCTTAAATACAGTACAAAGTATGTCTATTTTACATATCTTATGGAGACATTAATAGACTTACCTTTTATAAATATTCATTGATACGCATGCACATGGACAAACCAATAAAGCCCAACATAATAATATAATTCACTTGACATAATATAATCACCTCTTAACCTATCACAGTACAGTCCTTTCAAGACACCAGCCTGGTTTGAATACCATGTTTTGTTACCTTAACAATACGATACAGTAGCATTACATAACCCTACTGCCAGGTGGGCCACATTTTCAACCAGCTCAGCCTCTGTTTAAAGTTTGCATATTCCCATGGGCTCAGCCTCTTGACAAATTTAGTGCTGTCATCTCTCCACTGGTAAAAGCAAACTCCCTCCTGGAGATCTTCCATTTCCACCGGTCTCAGTCATGATGGTTTTTGTCCCCATCAGCTGCACTAGAATCTGGCATCCTTTAAGCCTAGAAAGGGACCTCTCTCTCTACTCCTGAACTTGGCTCAGTATTTCCCACCTTGACAGAGAAGACGCCAGAATGAATTATATTACATGTCCTACAACCATGAATCTCAGTGCAAGGTCGGTGTTGGCTCTACCTCCTGGGCAATCACCTATAACATCCCCCTTCCAGTGTACCTGGCTTCCCACTAGTCCAGCATCAGTTACATTTAATGCTTGTAAAAGAAAACGTTAAGCTTGGGTTTTGAGAAGACCAAAGCAGGAGCTTTTAAAAAGAGAAACTGGTGAAATCTGTCCCTTCAGCCTCTATTGTGTTTATTCTCTTGGGCGATACCAGGTGAGTCTGAACAGCCAGGTTCTATCCTGGAAAGTGTGCCCTCTTGGTGGTGAAACCTACCTGAATATTTTTTTCACAGTCTGTTTGCTGGTGAAGGGACAGCTCACTTTCCAGGACAAACTTCTTGCCACACTTATCACAAATCTGCATGCGCCTATGAGTAACGTTCATGTGCTTCTCCAGGTACCAGCGAGTATTAAATACCCTGGGGCACTTCTCACAGGTCAGAGTCTCTTTCTCTTCACACTTAGCTTTCTGGGCTGGTGCTTTGGGCTCCTTTGCGGCCCGCTTCTTACGCTTAGGTGGCTCTACACTCTTCCTACGACCTCTTGTAGTTCTGGGAGTAGGGGAAGTGGCAGCTGCAGCAACAGAGGCAGCTCTCCTCGTTCTCCTCTGTGTAACGCTGACTTTCTCCACTATCTTCTCCTTTTTCTTCTGCCTTTCGTTCTCTCCATAGTCATTGCTGTCATCTGTGGCCTCTTCCTCACTCTCTTCCTCTTCCTCCTCACTGCTTGTCTTAAGAACAGGAGTCTCTTTGGACTGAGAAGAGACACCCTTTTCCCCTTTAGATACATTTAATGTTTGATTATTAAGGTTTACCTCCACTATGATCTGCTCCCTTTTGTAAGAGACTTCCTCCTCTTCCTCTTCTGTGTCATCAGAATTCTCCCGGTCTTCTTTAACGGCATGCACGTCAGACACTGCTCTTGTCTCCCTGAAATATGGCTGTTCCTCTGTCTCATGGAGATGCGGTTTGCTCATCTTGGTGTCCACTAATACAGAATAAGGACTTCCTGACTCCCTTTTGTACACTTTGGTGGACAGGTCAAGTTCTTGGTTGGCACCATGATAAAAGGTAGATGGCACTTGACCACGACGGCTCTCCTCCTGTGCCATCCCTGCTACATGCGCAGCACAGTTTTCAACCAGCTCCTGACAGGAACTGGCTGTGTGGCTCATTGGTAAGTGGCCTGATTTATTAAGCAGTTCAGACTACAGAGAAATAGCTTTAAAATGGGGTAGTTATCAAGACTCAAATCTTTTTCCATCCACAAAGAATCAAATGAAAACTAGGTATTCCTGAAACCTGTGTGCAATTCTTCCAGTGTCGCAGCACCAAAGCATAAGTCAAAAGGTTTGGTATTATGGCAAGAGCAGAGCACTAGTGATTTTTCTTGTGAAGAAAGCTCTAAGTGACTTGGAGCATCTTATCTACAAAGAAAAACAAACAGGAAAAAAGGTCAGACACCGCTATTTCCTTCTTATAGCATGCACTTATAAAACAAACACAGCTTAATTTCTCTCTCTCTCTCTCTCTCTCTCTCTCTCTCTCTCTCTCTACACACACACACACACACCACACATAAAATTCTTTATCCTGCTTTAATGGTTCAGTGGGGGCCATTATTTTACTGGGTTATATGAATTCCACAAACATTTTGTTAGAATTAAATTCTAAGACAGCAGGAGTCATTATCCATCAAGTTCACTGAGATATCTTGAGCGCAGTGCTTTACACTTAGTAGGTGTTCAGCATATATTTGATGACATCTAAATGAACAGCTACTATTGCACAGCATTCATTATCCAGACGCTACAGGGCATACTGATACGGCAGAATATATACTCGTATATGGTCTCTATCCACAAGGCATTTACAGTCTTGTTATATAATATGTGTCCTACATAAAACATGCAAGGGCTGTATGTTGGCTGGCTTTCTTTTCCATATCAGTCACCACCACCAGCCAAAATGAGAACTCACAGAACAAAAACAGTAGTGGGCTAGCCACTGTGGATCAGGAAAATAAAACAGCTAATTGACCTAATTACGGCAGAGAGAAAATGTCTCTGGCTGTAAATAATTTATAATCTAGGTATTACTATAGATATTACTGTCTTCAGGTTTATTGGAGTAACTTCAAAGTTGTCAAGTATTCTGAAATTTTTTCTATGCATAGCTCACTAGATCTACTCCATAACTGGGTGATTTTTCATGTGTCAGTTGCACAGAAGTCTAAATTCTGAGAAACAGTAACCAACAGGTTGATATGGTTCCAAGAAAATAAAACCATCAATTAAAAAAAAAGATCAGAAGGGCATATAATTTGCTTTGTGATATACCTCACACTGCTGTTTAGCCAACCACCTAACCTCTGAGTCATGTGAATATTACTGCAAGCACATACCTTGTCTAGTTGACAAAGGGAAAAACACTAGTATTTACTGAATGCCTACTATGTGCACATGCATCGCAAAGGTCCTTATTAAATATTTCTATTTAATAACCACCACAAAACGTTGATGTTTAAACTATTCTTCACTTCCATGTTCTTTCTCCTTATGGATTTCTTCTTTTAAAAAATTATTTTACTTTCATTTCAGTGAAAGGAGTGGTGACAAATGCCACTATGTTTTACTTGACATCTGAATATATATACTTTTTTGTATTTATTAATGAGAAAATTATGCCTCTGAGAGGCTTACTATTATAGCTTGTCTAAGATCACATATCTATTCAATAACAAAAGCAATGTGTGACGCCAGGTCTGCCTGACTCCAAAGCTCCTAGTCTTTCTATTTCTACTATGACACATGACACTCCAAAAAATAATTTAAAATCAACTATTCCTGTAACCACACATCTTTTTGCAACAAACAGCTTCACATCTCCTATTTTAAGTAGAGAAATCCTAGTAGCTTTATTTTGCATGTGCCCAATCTTCTGACCCATGGAAATAAGGTAAACTACTACAAGTACTGTTAAATAAACTTACATTAATTATCTCAAATTAAGCAAGGGAGGAGAGACAGTAAAATTCAATTAACCAGCAAAAGCTAGGAATTAAATAAAATTTAGGAAGATGAAGAAAAGTAAATGAAGGGAACTCCTCTGTGGTAGTCATTAATGCGTTCTTCCCAAATACTTTGGGGCGCGTGATGCAGCTGCATTTTCTCACCCTGCCCCGTCCCCATAGCTGGGTGGGGGCCCTCTGACTACTTCTGGCCGGTACATCAGGAGTAAATGTGACACACAGAAGGCCAGGGCATTTTCTAACCAATACGAAACCCTCCAGACCTCTTTTCCCTCTGCCACAGGGACCAGCAATCTTCAAGGTGATCACTGCTATCAAGCTGGATCCGAAAGAGTAAAATGACCTGCAGGATATGCACAGTGCAGAGGATTTTTTAACAATCTAATTGTGTGTATGTGTTTCCAGAGTTTTATTTAAAGTCACTGAGATCTTGTGCTTATTCCTGCAGCAGCATCTGGCCTATCCTACCTGATACAAGTGGAATCCAGAAGTGGGGAGCTGTCTTGTTAAAAAAACTAAAATACAGTGATGGAGAGAAGAAAAGGAGAGATTCCTGGGCCGCTGTCCAAGAAACTAGCTTCTTTTATTTTCCCCAGTAAATTTTTTTTGGTGAAATAAACTTTTTTTAAAAATTAGTTTCAGCTGTACAACACAGTGCAATAGTTATACTTTTACCCGTCAAAGTGCAAGAAACCAGCTTTGATGGAAGCCAAAAATTAAAAAAAACAAAAACAAAAACAAAAAACCACTAAAATACAGGAAAACCTTGGATTGCGAGTAACTTGATTTGTGAGTATTCCGCAAGATGAGCAAACATTTCTAATACATTTTAACATGGTAAACAAGCGATGTCTTGCAATATGAGTAGTTTGTTTCCAGAACGAATTATGCTCGCAAACCAAGGTATTACTGTATATGGAAAGGGCTTAGGAGCTGGGTAGAAGGAGGCAAGGAAACTGTTACTGGAGGCTAAAAAGATAGCAACTCATATTATGCAGTGGTAAAATTATTGGTGAAACTATCTGCTAATTATCTCAGGAGATAGATATTATGCCACAGAAGTTATAGCTCTAGTGGGAAAATGGACTATTCAGAGATGGTATTGGTTACTGTGGGCTGTATTGGACAAACTATTACATGAAAAGGATGAATTCAGAAAAAAATTGATCTGTTTATAATCAGAAATAAAAGGAGTTCAGAAAATCAGCAATTTATAGGGTTAGAAGCAAGTGCTTAACATAAAACTAAGAAGGTCTTTGAGCTACAAATGCTGATTAGAATTCAGTCTTGAGGCAAGGACCGAGTCAAAGACTTGGCCTTCACGACCATTGATAAAATATCCCAATTGATTACGGTGGGCCCCAGTAAAACAGCTTTTCTAAAATGAGACTAAAAGATGAGGTTTTCTCACCAAAGCAGTGTCTTAATCTGTTTTGCTACAAAGCATATTTCCTAACGTGAATTAGTTCAAATGTTCTTGGTAAATAGAGAAATGATGTCAGTATAACACAGAAGTCACGTTGGTTACACAAGATTTTCTCCTGCAAGTTAATGTCTGAAGTGATCAGGAGAAAGCTGTCTCCAAAAAAGAAAGCCTTAGCAATATAGGAAGACCTTAATAAAGCTAAATATCCTACTTCCATGCCTTCCTTTAATGCAAGTGGCCAGCTGCTTCATGGACCACTACACTTTCCATTTTATATCTGGTGAAGCTGAGATTATGTTTCTCCTCCTGTGTTTAGAAAAGCAAGTTTCTGATTGCTAAAGCCTCTACCATACAATAGACCAAAATTTTTATTGTAATGAAACTGTCTCTATTGTAAGCTAATATCTTCAAGACCCCACATTTCAGAGGATTAAGTCTGTAGAGGTTCAACTGGCTGATGTTGGGTGTATAGGCCAGTGGAGATTTAATATGCTACTGTTTCTATTATAGTTATTATTGTTTTTGTTAGCACACAGGTTACAGTGTTCCACTGATTTTGAGTGGTCTGTCCCAATCCATAAGCCCTCTTTATTTCAGTGTACAATTTTGCAGAATTCAGGAACACATTTACGAAATTATAGCAGAAATACCTGTACTCAAAATAAAGTAACGGAAGTAGTATGGGACCAATAAAGCAGAGCTACGCAGCAAATCTAGGAAATAGGGTTAGAAAAGAACTATGGAGGTGGCTAAGGAACATGGAGCTGACCAGAAACAAATAACTAAAAAGCCAAGTAAGTTTTTGAGAGTTATATTGCCAGAAGAACCACCAGCCTGGGTGAAAAGGGGCTGTGACTATTCAATACCTAAAATGGTCTTTGGGTTCCCAAGCATGTATGGCAGGAAGTGGCTGAGAAAGCTGTTCATCGCCCTCAGGGGGCACAGTTCTCATTGCCCATTTTGGATATAGCCAAGGACGATAACAGGAAAAAAAAACGAAGATGATCCAAAAGGATGAAGCTAGGGAGCAAAGAAAAAACAGACAAGTGAGCTACTGCTAAGAAGCCAAACCAGCATCTATTCAAGAACATTCCCCACCCTTGGAGGGGGCCCTCTTAATGACCGCTCAGAAGGATTCTAGAATTTGCTGCAGTCCATTGACTGCCATATGTCGCCTATTCTCCCTGCGGCCTTTAAAATGGGAGTTTTTTTTGTTTTTAATTATCCTGCTGCTAGTCACAATTGTACATTATATGTGGGGGCAGCAGATCATTTGTCAACTGCTTTCACAGGTCTCTGGATCAAGAACAGCAACATCTGGACCTGATGTAGAGACTAATATGCATCATCTCTTCATAAGCAGGCCACCAACCATCACACCCTTGCCTTACTCAGAAATCCTAGACTTCGAGCTCCATGCCATGATTGGGTAAGACTGTGGGGTTCCCTACCTTGGGGAGGAAGAGAGTGTATTTTGCTTGTGAGAGAGAGTAGAGTGAATATCTGATGACCAAAAAGATGGTGCTGTTTATCAAGTATTTTCAGCTCTCTGTCTCCCTGGCACAGGCAGTGCTGTGCTTTCTGGCCCCCCATAGTTTCATGGGACAGGACTGGTTCTGGTCATCATGTTGTGAAATAAGTGATGTGAGTCACTTCTAAGCTACTGTATTTAATTGCTAATGAGAGACCTCATGGCAACCAGCAGTGTGCAAGATGTGTGTTCCCTCAGCTTGAATCACTGAGGATAGGAGCAGAGCTCCCCTGCTGATCTATTGTGGCCACTTAGTGAGAAAGAAATCCTTCATTTTTTTTAATTAAAATTTTTTTTCCAATTACAGTTGACATGCAATATTATGTTAGCTTCAGATGTGTAGCACAGTGGATGGGTATTTATAGAAGTTACGAAGTGACCCCCTCCCCCCAGTAAGTCTAGTACCCACCTGGCACCACACACAGCTATTACAATATTA